TGGCTGGCATGTGGTGCTGGGGGATTGAACCGCGGTCCCTTGTGCTTTGCTAAGCTTGTTCTAAGTAGGTGCTTTAGATCACTGAGCCATCTCACCAGCCCGATCAGCTATTTTTGACATGACATGCTTACAAGAAATAGACTGAGAATTCCAAATATCATCATAAAGCTCATTGCCCTACAATACTTGTGGGAGAATCAACATTCTCTGTAATAAGGATAGTGTCAGCCTATCAATCAGTAAGGCAGTTCTCAAGGTGTTAATTTGAGAAAATTGTGGTCTCGATAAGCACAGCTCTGAAGTTAGCAACACCAAATTTAGTTACCAAAGACACCAAGGACTGCCTTAATGTATTTCTTCCTTTACTACTAAACAAATTCCAACTTAAAATTATCACCTTGATTAATTACTACTAATTGTATAGAAATAATAGGTTGGGTGAGCTGACACATATCTGTAATTCCAGCACTTGGGAGGCCCAGCCAGAAGGATCACTGTAAATTCAAGGGCAGGTTAACCTAAATAGTAAGAAAACAAAACAAACAAAAATGTACTTTCCAGACTATGCAAATGAGATGCTTATTAATAAAATAATTCTAACATATCCTTTACCTTCCTTTTAACTTTATGGTGTACATTATGTAGATACCAGAGCTTATGTTACTAAAAATTAAGCTAAAATGTTAGTATAAATAACAATTCAGATATAAAAATCCAGACCTCTGTCAGTTTACTACAAATGATACATCGTGACTTATTAAAAACTCCTTTTTTAAGATGCTGATTGTCTTCACAGAGAGACAAAGATGTATTAGAAAATCCTTGAAAAGATTTGCTTGATTCCACTGGAGGAACAGTAGCCTTCTTTGTAGCTGCATCTCTGAAAGAGAAAGGATAAATACACAAGTTTAAAATTGCTTTTTTTGGTGCTGGGGATTAAATCCAAGGCCTAGCACATGACAGTCAAGGACTCTGCCACTGAGCTACACCCTCATTCCAACAACACTGCATTTCTCTCTCTTTTTTTTTTTTTTTTTTTTTGGTGGAACTGGGGATTGAACTCAGGCCCTTGTACTTGCCAGGAAAGTGCTTATTCTACTGAGCTATATCCCCAGCCCTGCACTTCTCATTTAAATATGATTTATTCCTAGAAATCAACTCTAACCCTAAGATATTGCAAAATCTACTTTTAGTATCAATGTTTTGCATTTCTAAATAATACAAAAAAGGGGCTGGTGAGATGGCTCAGTGGTCTAGAGCACCTACTTAGAACAAGCTTAGCAAGGCACGGGGACCTCGGTTCAATCCCCCAGCACCACATGCCAGCCTGCCCTGCCCCCTGGTGGGCTGAGCTGGCCACACACACACACACACACACACACACACACACACACACATATTTTAAAAAATAAATAATACAAAAAAGAGAAGATTCCAATGTTAAAAGAAATCTTTTTTGCATGAGAACCCTGCTAGTTCTTTAGCTTTCTAGAAATATTCCAAATTGGTGACAGAACTAAGGAAAGGCAAGAGGCAGAAGCAGTACCAGAGAAAGTGGCAGTATACTTCCATTTTATGGCCAAGATAAAGTACAGTAGGAATTAGTCCTTAGCTGATACAACTGTAGGTTATGTTCAACAAACTTGAGGATACCCCTGAAGCAGTTCTACCCATGAACCTGCAATTATATTTTCTTATGTGCTAGTCTTAAACCATACAGAAAAACGTTGAACATTACTGCTTACTTTTTACCCATTACATTTCGTGTCTTTCGGGTACGTTTATGAGAGAAGGAAGAAAGGCAAGTAGTTGAACAAAAGAGGTGAGCTGATCCTTTCCGCTGGTAAGCTGTTTGTCCCTTCTGTAAAGGATTTTTGCAGTTTGCACAAGTGATTTTAGCTGGCTTAGGTTGCTGTTGGGCAGAAGGCTGGAAAATCTGTTTGGGAAGTGAGGCCACTGGTGATAGAGAATCCATCCCTGGCTGTTTCTGATTACGGGGAAATGATGCTGACTGGGAAATCCAAGAATCTGAAACAATGAAACACATAAGAAAAAGTCATGGAATAAATCAAAATTCACATCAGAAAAATATATTACATTTTCATTTAAGAGTTTAAGGAAAAAAAAAAAGTTTAAGGAGGCAGCCACATATGAGGTAATTAAAATATATAGTGAATGCTTCAATTTTTAAAAATTATTACCATAAAAGACATAATACTATCAAGTCTTCCCAAACACTCCTTTTGGTTTGGACATTCATTGCCTATCATTCATGCCATTCTGAGGCAGTCCTGGAAGCTCTCTTTGTGAGTCCCTTTAGGAGGTATAATTCAAAATGTGAATGGCACTGCTGAATGCCATCCAACATAAATTCAGGCTGTGAAATCCTCAAACCACCTTATCCACTGTATATGGCACCTGAAACTTCTAGCTCTTCTATAAAATCAAAATGACCATGCAAGGCAAAATTTTTAAATCAATTAAGGACACTGCGGCAGCCATGACATTTAAACTAATGACACTCACAGAAGAGGGCTTGTAGAACTGCCTCAAAAAGTAGCCAGAACAATCGGATAAGGTATCTGTTTGAAGCAAGATGGAGTATTTTTTTGTTTTTTTGGCAGAACCGAGGATTGAACTCAGGCAAGCGCTTATTCTACTGAGCTATCTCCTGGACCCTTTAATTATTTTTTTAAGGGGGATTAATGCCAAGGTATCTTTCACTAAGATAATTTCTTTAACATTCACTTAATGTAGTTAGAAGTAAACAATCTTGATGAATAATCTAGCACTACATATACACTTTGTATTCCAAGGAAAGGCTCGTCCATTGTGTCAAAAATAAAACAAATGGTGGCTCTAGTAATTGTGTAATGTAGCCATCAGCTACTAAGTCAGATTCCCTATCTTTAAAATCTGTCTCCTGGCCTGGGAATGAGGCATGTGCAACAGAGCTTCCCTAGTGTTTGAGGCTCTGGTTTTCGGTTCAAAGGCATCACCCAAAGAAAACAGTGCCCCCTACCAAAAATTTCCAAAATATGTCTCTTGAATTTACATTATTCACCTTTTTTTTTTTTTTTTTTTTTTTGTGGTACTGGGGATTGAACTGTGGACCCTGTGCTTGCTAGGCAGGTGCTTATTCTACTGAGCTATCTCCCCAGCCTTCTTATTCACGTATTTTTTTGTGTGTGGTGAAGACTGAATCTAGGGCCTTGTGTATGCTAGGTAAACATCTACCACATTTCTAGCTTGCTTTTTTTTTTTTTTTTGTAGCTATAAGAAAGCAGTTAAAACTGAACTCATTACTGTGTAAGAAATGAGTAACACATACTCATAAAACACTGTGTACATAAGGAGACATTCAAATCTTTTGGATGCCTTTTTTCCTAACAGGAAAATATAAATATACCTATAGAATAAAGCAAAGGATATAAAAACCAGATAATTACAGTGAAAGCTGTAAAAGCTATAAGCTTAGCTATGTAGAACCTTTCAGAAACGTGCTAAGCCTGGTAGTTTACATATAAAATTTATTTAAAAAACCTAGAAACTACAAAGAAAAACAGGAACCTAAAGTGTAAATTTTCAATTCTATTCAAAACTAGCATTTGTCATTACAATTTGCCTCCAACTGCTCCCAAAGCCTCTCACTATCACTAACAGTATTTACCATCATTTCTAAATTGCCACCAATTCTTTGTAACTTTTATCTATTGTTTCAGATTTTTTATTCTACAAATACAAGCAAACTGAACAAACGACAAAAAGAAAACATTTATTTTTTAGGATAACATGCTGGCAAATCTTTATCTAAATAAACTTAAACTACATTGAAGAGTGTTTCTTTCCTGTTTTTTTTTTTTTTTTTTCCCTGCTGGTACTGGGCATTAAACCCAAGATTTTGCACAGGTTAAGCAAACACCACCGAGCTACATCATCCCAGCCCCAATTTTTTCTAGTTTACAATTATTCCATTAGTAAAAAAAAAAAAGCATGTTGATCCATTCTGAACAACAGAGAATCACATTTTTCTTAAAGATGTATTTAATACTGAGTGTCTACAGGGTTTCATTACACAGACTCAGTAGTGATCCTCCTGTTTTCATCTTCCCAATTGCTGAGATAATAGTGCACCACCATGCCCAGTTTCAATCGTTATCTCAGCATGCCTGAAGAGCAGGGCCAGCAAACCCCAACCAATGCATTCTGCCTAAGCAGGTACTTTAATCCACTGAGCTATCTGGCCAGTCCAAGATACACATTCTTGTTTTTTTAAATTTTTATTTATTTATTTATTTATTTAGTGTGTGTGTGGCCAGCTCAGCCCACCAGAGGGCGGGGCTGGCTGGCATGTGGTGCTGGGGGATTGAACCGCAGTCCCTGTGCTTTGCTTAGCTTAGCTTGTTCTAAGTAGGTGCTTTAGACCACTGAGCCATCTCACCAGCCCGCAAGATACACATTCTTGCACAGAACATAAAATCTGTGATAAAGCTTTCTGTGTCTAAACCTTATGGCAAATGAGGCTTAACAAACTGTACAAGTAAAAGTGAAACATATGGGAGAAATAAAACCTTGCCAGAAGGTAGTTCAGTTTTGTGGACTTAACCATCATTATGGAACTATATTTACATATGACTATGGTACATATGTGCTGAGAATTGAACCCAAGACCTCTCATATGCCAGGTAAATACACTACCACTGAGCTACATTCCTAGCCCCTACATGTAATTATGGCAAACAAGTAATCAACTATATTGCTCAAAACATAATTTATTTTTGAAACTTTATTTAGTTGATTTTGTTTTTTGAGACAGGGCTTTAGTATGTAGTGTGGGCTGTCCCTGAACTATGTAGCCCAAGCTGGCCTTCAACTTGAGTCTATCCATTTATCTCAGCCTCCCAAGTGCTAGGATCACAGGCATATACCACCAGGCCTGTTTTTTATTCAGTTTTGCTGCATGCATAAAAGTAAACTATTTTTTGTTTATACTTTACCTACTTATTTTGCCCTAATTAGAGTTTCTAGAAAAGGAGGCTACGAAGATGCGATGGCACATGCCTGCAATTGTAGTAGTGGGAGGTTAAGGCAGGGAATCACAAGTTTGAATCCAGCTCAAGAAGATAAACAAGACCCTGGCTCAAAATTAAACACAGTTTTAAAAAGCTGAGTGATATGGCTAAGTGAAAAGGCTGTAATGTTCAATCTTAAGTGTCTAAAAAAAAAAAAAAAAATCATCACGTGTTACCTTTTAAATGCTGAGGACTTAACTCAGGGGTTCATGCATGCTAGGTAGATATGTATTCCTCCACTGGGTTACAACCTAGCCTTCCAAACAAAATCCACAGCTGGGAAAGGTTACATCATCAGCTTAAATCCTTCAGTTTACTGGAGGGGAAATTATGACCTAGAAGTTGGGTGAAGTCTCTAAGAGTCCATTAAGTATAGATGAGATCCACTATTTAATTTCTGGTTGTTCTTTTTGTCTTCCTGCAATTCTGCCTAAAATCTTTTTATTACATCTTCAGGGCTGGTCTACTAGTAAGTTTTCTCAGTGCTTCAGTTTCTTCAGTTGTTTTACACTTATTTTTGTATCCATAAATATGTAGAATTGCTTTATGTTAATAAAAGTATGACTGAAAAAGTATAATGAAATATGTGCTACAAAATTTATTAGTATCGAAGGCAAGTGTGAATTATAAAACTTTTTCATGAAATTTATGCTGTTGCAATTGTTTTATTACAGGACCTATTACTCAATAAGAGGAACTCATGTACTTGCAATTTTTATGCTTTGGTCTCCAAAAGTGCCTGGAGTATAGAAATGTATAGACATGTATCAAGAGCGACAGGCAATTTTTAAAATAACTGCACAATAAAATCCAGATAAACATACAAATATTTCTAGTATCTCAGAAGTTCTCCTAATTGTCTTGCGAGTCATCAATTTTCTTCTTATATCATAAGCCACTTGTATTCTGATTTCTATTACCAAGAATTAATTTTATTTTAAACTTTATACTTACACATACAAAACAAAACAAAACAAAAAAACCACTTTACACTCACAAACTCACATAGTATTTACTTTTTGTTTAGTTTCCTTAGCCTTCTACTTTGTCAGTGAGGTGCTAGCTGCTGCACATAGGAAGTTTTGTTTTTTGGCCGTGTTGGGAATGGGACTCTTAACACTGAGCTATGTTTCCTAAACTTGTTTTTTTTTTTGTTTTATTTTAGAGAAGGATCTACAGGGTGTGCAGGGTCTCACTACTTTATAAGACTCATAGTGATCTGCCTGTTTACAGCCTCCCAAGAGCTGGGATTACAAGCGGCACCACGATGCCCAAATTGCCTTACCTTCTCAGCATACCCTGGGGGTGGGGCTGGCATGGCAGGCCCCGGGATAGAACCCCCTTCTCATAAGAAGCAGGAATCACCAGGGTCTACAGTGTCTCACTATGTAGATCAGACTTGCAGTGATCCTCCTGTTTACAGCTTCCCAAATGCTAGGATTATAAGTGTGCACTACCATGTCCAGTCTCAGTGTGCCCCTGGGATGGGGCCTGCATGGCAGGGCCAGGTCACACCACTGGCCCCTCTCTCTGCCTAAGCAGGTGCTTTAATCTGCTATTTGGCAGACCCTCTAAAGTTTCTTAGAACCCTAATTTTTCTCATTGTAATTGTAGCTTTATTTATTTTGTAGCTTTATTATTTATTTATTTATTTCCTGTATATTAGGGAAGGGTCTACAGGGTGTTCAGGGTCTCATTACTAGATCGGACTCTTAGTGATTCTCTTGTTTACAGCCTCCCGAGTGCTGGGATTACAGGTGCACACCACCATGCCCAGTCTCAAATGCCATCTCAGCAGGCCCCTGGGGGCAGGGCCAGCATGGTAGGGCCAGGATACACCCTGTAGACCCTTCCCAAATTAATTTTACTGATGATTGCGTACAACAAGCCCCTATGCCAGCTTGCAGG